TAGGCGGCAATCTCCAGATATTCGAGCTTTTTCATCGCCGATCACTCTTTTTCGTTTTTTCGTGGGCTTTTCCTCATAAAACAAAAAAATTTTTGTAAGGGGCTGTGCCAAAAAAAATCAATTTTAGAAGAAAAAATTTCTGAAGAACTCGAAATGCATGGCAGGCAGACTGACAGTTACTAGTCTCATTAGGTGCCTAGCTGAAGCCATAATTGTCAGTTGTGCCATGTCAAGTCGAAATTATCTTTCAAAGTATTGCTGTTGCACGAGTGCCCTTCAAAAAGGCTTCCCTAATGACCATGCTCTGTCACTGATGGCGTACTCGTAAGCATGAGTTCCTTCTATTTGATAGGGTGCTTCAAGGTATAGGTAGATTTCAAAGCCATTCTTCTGTGACTAATTACTTTCACTAGTGCAAGCACATTTAAAGTAGTAATTCCCTTTGACTCAACTTCAATACCTTCCCGATCGATTCATTCGTGCTCCAAAGAACAAAGGTTACTATACTCACTCGTTGCCTTTATGGGCGAACTCATTTCAAAGTTACGATGCTTTTACTGCTAGCAATTGCTGTCGATTTCCGTAGTAGTAGTAGTAATATCAATTTCGAACGCCTCATCTGCCTTGTTGACATAAAACAACTTTCGATGCTTTCCTTATGTGTAACTACATGCTTGAGAACGTCGCTCGCATCGAGTATGAGTAGAGTATGTAGTATAGTACAGGATAGTGTGGTGTAGTATAGTAAAGTCGTGGTATACTATAATATGGAATAGGGTAGTATAATATAGTACAGTGTAGTATGGTTTAGTATAGCATAGTATAGTATAGTATAGTATCGCATAGTATAGTATGGTATAGTATAGTAAAGTACAGTATAGTATAGTATAGTATAGTATACTAGTATAGTATAGTGTGGTATAGTGTAGTACAGTGAAGCATCGTATCTTATCGTATCGTACCGTATTCACTTCACGATTCATTCCTGCTTCAAAGTCTGCTCGGTTGGATTCCCATTGGTTTATTTTTGTTTAACAACTCGTTAGGTGCCTATTTAATTGAGATCAAAAGGTTTTTACATATGTCTTTATTTCCAGACTGTCTTAGGCCTTGCTCCAGGAGAATGAAGTGGCTTTTGCTCTTTGTACTTCCTATGAACGCTCTAGCCGAAGTGAATTGCCACTCGTGTTTGACTCACTGCAAAACTAGTCATGGAGCTAAGGTTTGTCCCTCTGTCGCCCTTTTTATATATTATATATATTATATTTATATATACTTTTATATATTATATATATATGCTAAGCAGTTTTCAAGAGATAAGGGAAAAAGGAAGAAAATAAAAGGAACATAATGAAGAGAGAGTCATCGGCCATGCTCTACTGAGGTGACGGAGCAATTGTAATTGTTCAGGCACGATTTGAGACTACCAAAACGTTAGCTCAAGCAGACTTCGAATCAATGTTAAAATAAGTACTGATACGAAATGCTAACGTCGAAAAAGTCCAATCAACTATTACTTAAGTATAACAGTCAATACAATCAAGTAATACTTTTACTTGTTAGGGATAAATTATTTCTAACAAAGCTACACAATTCGTGAGAGTAATTGCTTCCAACCCGTTTTCTCGGGCTCAAATTTGGAAATGCCAGAGTCGTGGGCGTTTGGTACGCTCCTTATCTATGAGTTTCAATGAACACAAACAAACAACTGATCATCATAAACTTAGGTTTTCGCCTATTTTAATTATATCTCACTTTATTTCAAAATTTGTAAATCTGAAAATAAAGGATTCCCATCGCTCAAACAGCGTAATACGATGTCTTCCCAGGTAGTGATAGTCAGTGTTACCAGTTTCTGGTTGATTTCAGTGCTGAGGAAAAAGCTCGATGTGATCAACATTCCATGTGTACAGATGTCTTATTCTCCCCATAGTTTCCTTCACCATGGTTTACAACTTTTGCTCGCAGCTGCGTAACTTGTAAAAACATTCAAGTTTGTGGTAGTGGCGAGCGCGTTGTAACCGGAAATTATAAGAAACCAAAACGAATTTTCTAAGAAAAAAATCTTCCCTAGCTTCAACTTATAAAAGTGAACGATAAGAAAGATAATTTTCCGCTGGAAGTGTCTGTTTTTCGTCCCATTCAGGTCAGTTCCGGAATTCTGAACACTAGAATAAAATTGTTTTTTATCTATACTTTTTTGCAATATTTGCACATTATCTATATTTCTTGTAAAAGTCTTTAGGGTATGATTTGGAGCACACGAAGTTTTTTTTTTCGTTTTCTGTGAGGAATATTCGTACTTTTACTCCGCTAACGAAGTGTATGTTCGTACGCCAACTCTGATGCAAAAAGAAAAGGGCTGTCTATAAAAACTTCTACTCGATTACCACAAGAACTCTTGTTGTTCCATCATTACACTCTTTACATCGATCCCTGAGTCAAAAAAGAATCTCCTGATGATGTATGTATCCACCGAATGTAGGTCTCTTTATGGGCTACGAGATTCGTACTTAAATGATGAATCAAATAAAAAAGATGCATCAGAGATGGGACAAGTCGTACAGAAGTAAATGTAGCTTGTCTTGTCGAGTTAAAACTCGAGCTCAATCGGGTTTGTTTGGGTGAAACTTGACAGTTTCGTTTCTAAGGCAGTATAGAGTCTATGAAAAAAAAACGTGCAACAGTAGCCGGAGTTCGAGTGAGTTGAATTCTTTCCCATACAGTTCTGAGACGGGGAATCAATGGTAGCGCTGACAGTGAGGTGAGATGCGGGACGAGAGTACGCAGGGTCCGGGAACTTCTCCCCTAACACGGCGTCGCACACGCCGCACTCGCCGCCTATCGCAGGATTGCGATGGAAGATTGGAGCGCGCAATTTGTGAGGTAGGGAGACCTTTAATTATTTGAATTGGCTGGCCGC